GTGTGTGTGTGTGTGTGTGTGTGTGTGGGTGGGTGTTTAAAGCTCGCTAGATTAGTACTAAAAGCTTCAGGGCTCACATGATGTATTGTCTTGGGACTCACATATTTTCATCACTATGTACCTCCTGCTGCCACATACTCCGAATTGTCGAAAGATCAGACGAAAAGAAAGAGACAAAATTAGACTGAAAAATCTCGTGGAAAGCTGGGAGCCTCGCAGGGTTAATTAGGTTTCCGGTGTTTCGGTGAGAATGAGCCGGCTTTCGTGTCAAAATGTACAGCACCTAATTGAGGACAGTCCCTACTCAGCTGTCGACAGACCATCTTAGCGTAAGGTTGCAAGGACCACCGAACTCGTCTGTTTTCTAGTCTTGTAGTAAGGCTCTAGCACTCGCAGCCGTAAAGTCTTAGGTTCGAATCCCGTCACAGGCTCAACACTGAGTTCTTGATAAAAGCATTTTATGTGAATGTACCACACTTCACACGAGTGGGAATGGGTTCGTAGGATTCCTGGCTATAGACAGCGAAATATTTTCTCAGTTTGCTTGCGTTTGAGCCCGAGTAATCCGCAGCTTGCACTGTATGCTTCCCTGGAAGCCAAGAATGCTTCTGAGTGCTCCAGGATCTGCTGGGGTTATAATAGTTGAAAAGCTCATGGAGCATGCTGTAGGGTGTGGGTATGCTCTATATAAATGCAATTATAACACAGATTAGTAGTAGTAGTAGTAGTAGTAGTAGTAGTAGTAGTAGTAGTAGTAGTAGTAGTTTTATTATTTTCATTGTTATTATTATTGTATCCTTGATCTGTCTTGCTTCCGCTCTTTACTCTCTTTTAAAAACTTGGCTGCGTTGTTGCGCAATATTGGCACGCAAATAAATGTCAAAATAACAGTTTCCTTATAGTCGAGTGCGCACACAACATTTCCCTCATTGCACTTCAACTGGTTCCAAAAAGATTCAAAAGGTGCACGCCATGGAAATTAATTCGGAGTACAGTCTTACATATTATTATTTTAACATAAGTCTTCTCCTAGGACTTACTTTAATGTTTATTGTATCTGCCCTATTGTCCTTACGTGTATATAATTAATATAATACAGCTGAGAAAGTTCTTCTATATGCAGGCAAACCGGTTTTTTTGCTACTGTGAAATATTTCATCTTGTGTGAATGAAGTATTACGCCCAGTGATCATGTGGTCCATGTAAAACAGCCAGAGCTTGTACTAGTATTGGATAGAGCGCTATATAATTATTATTATTATTGTTACTATTGTTATTGTTATTGTTATCATCATTATAAGTATTATTATTATTATTATTATTATTATTATCATCATCATTATTACTGATATCAGTATTGTTATTATTAGTATTATCATTATTATTGATAGTGTTATTGGTATTATTATTATTATTATTATTATTATTATTATTATTATTATTATTATTATTATTATTATTATTATTATTATTATTATTATTATTTTACACAGATGTAGAAGAATGGGACGACCGGCATGTTTGGTGTAACTTTTAGGGGCTTCACCGTCGCACACACGGGAACCAAGTCCAATTCTTTAGTGGGGTGAATTTTTATCGAGTAACTATAGGTCTTTCTCCTGGGACATATTCTTCTCATCCCAAGTTGGCCCTGACACTGATAGTCAGGGTTGAAGCCAACCTCCTAAATGATCTAAATTGTGTCATTGGGAGAGTACAAACACCTTCCATTAGAAATAAATAAAACAAGATTGAAACGCCTTACTAAACTCAGCATATGTTTCGAAAGTGCTCTTATCCTAACCCCCC